TAAAAGGATACCACCTTGAAACATACATGGATCAACTCGATTTGTGATGCGGAACACGATCATAATGTTGAGTTTTATCTTCTCAGTACCATCGGTTGATAAACATTTAGGATATCACTGATTTTTAACCAACATCAGAGTTCTGATGGCAGTCTGTGCTTATTTGAGATGTCTTCCCTCATCGATATTTGAAGTTTCATTTATGAACGTTGTAGCTAATCTGAAATGCACTTAATCGATAAAAAATGATGATATTTGCTCTTGCCATTGAAGACATTGACGATTCACTCTAAATCTTTCTAATAGTCTAAAGATGGATTTTTGAAGGTAACATCGAATTTATATATGACATTATCTAATGATAACGAACAAATTCAAATGCACGTATGTGATCTCAACAATGAAGCTCTTAGATATTCATTGAATCGACAACCACTTAATGAAATGAACAATAATTAAGGTAATAGTTATCATTTGTTATTTGCTGACATATCTTGCGATTTTCTGTTAAGCATGACAGTGCAATAATTGATATACCAAGTTTTCAATTTCTTCTAATAAATTGTTTTTTTTTCTTTTTTTTTTATTGATTTTTTTTAACATTTGTTATTAAAACAAGTGTTGAAAAAATAAAAAGATAAATTGAATAAATCATTGTTTCAAAAAGTTGTATTCAAACGCAAGTTTTCTTTGTTTTACAATCTTGAATGATAATAAATTGAAATTTTTCGACATTAGTTTGAATTGTTTTTTTTTTTATTTATGTTTTCGTTTTACATACGTTTTACAAAATATTGAGTTATGTTGATGGTGTTACAGTTTATTGGAGTTCAAGATTTTCAAATTCCGATATTAAAAAATCTCTTAATTTGATTCTTCTTGCTTTAGCGAAACAATACCATAGCAGTGGCGAGCATTATTATGACATGGAGAAGCTGTTATTTAAATATTGACAACATTTAAAAAGAGTGCTTCTTTAGCTCTAACTTATCAATATAAACGTTGTATTGAAGTTAAATGAATCGATGAATCCGTCGTCTAGTGCGACTCCGATAAAAATTATACCAGTAAAGACTCTTGATTTACGTGAGACTCGTTATTCGATCGATAATCAAAGAAAAGAAAACAAGCAAAGGCAAATACATAGAAAAAAAACCTTTTTGAGTAAGAATAGATAGGTAAATATCATACATAGAAATATCGCTTTGTATATTGCTGCGTTCAGTAGAAACTTTAAATTAATCGCATAAAAAACTTCCATAGTCTTCATGTGATCATTGCACAGTGATTCTCATAGATGATAATTATAAGATTCTATCACATGTGTGTGCGTGTTTCGTTTTCTCTGCATGAATGCTCCCACTACGTGCGCAAATCAAAACCTAGGTGAAAGATAAATATTTTTGACTATAAGAATAATTAAATATGAGGTGTACCTTTGAGTGAGAAGTTAACTTCATATAGATTCGAAAGTTGTTCATTTGTTTTTTTTTTGTCTTCTTATTCTAGATCATTATAATCCATTCAAGAAGTGTTTATCGATCTGAATATTTGACGAAATGGCATGTAAACAAGTCAAATCAACGGACAAAATTGAATTGAGTGAAAAACATCTCGATGCTCTCAAGAAAAGATCAAATCTCAGTGAAGCAGAAATTCGGGAACAATTCGGTTCGTATCTCGTAACATAGTTGATATCACACTCATAAATTTCTCTAAGCTAACATTAATGCTCACAATTAAATTTGTGAGGGATTGCTCTACTAAACTAGATAAAAATATTAAATATGAAATTTAATCTTAGAAAATTTTCAATGATATTTTTTAAAGCTTTGGTTCGAACTACAACTCGCTATATTGTTCATTTTCAGAAGATTTTCGTGCGTCGACACCCACCGGGCAACTCACAAAGGAACAGTTCATCAAATTATGTAACCAAACAGCACCTCAACCCAATGATCCTAATACCGTTGATATGACCAATCGACTTTTCGCATTTTTTGATCGAGATCATTCCGGTAAACATTTTGTATGGATTTTTTCTTTAAATGATCATGTTGTTGTTGTTTAGGAAAAGTTGACTTTAATGAATTTCTGATGGCTGCGTCGTTGATGACACCTGGTACACCGGCGCAAAAGCTTGCTTTAATGTTTATGTTATGTGATTTCAATCAGGATGGTTTTCTTTCACGATCTGAGGTTGAAAACATTTTTCTTGTATCTAAGTCAACTACTAAACCAGTCGATCAGAAGGAATTCGAAGCTTTCAAGACTCATTTGGATTCAGTCTTTGCGCTATTTGATGTTAATAAAGACGGCCAAATTAGTCAAAAGGAATTTCACAATCTCTGTCATAATGACGAAGTTTTCAAAAGAATGTTAGCCTGATTCATTTCAAAGCTGGTGTTTAAATGGAAATTTATTATTTGCAAAATAATTCAAGTCCTTAATAGAACAATTAATTGAACTTTAACAATTTTCTTATTGTCATGCATTTTCTTTCGAAAATTAGATGATATAGTCTATAGAAATGAATAAAACATAGTTGCTCAACAGTCTCTTTTTTCTTTGTTTTTTTTTTCACTAAAATCAATCAATTTGATTTTATATCACATGCACCAAAATATGCCAAGTTTCAAGCAATTTTTTACAACTTCGCAGTAACTTCGGGCAGAAATCGAATTTTGAAACATCATTTGCCTTTTTTATCACGAGAAACAAAATAAAAACAACTAGACGATGTTATTGTGACATGATTAGAATTGGACAATAGCAGCTCGGCTAGAAATTGCCTGTTGAGGAAAGGATCGAGTCACGATAGGTTTTGTTTTTCCTTCCACGGTCACTACTTCTAGCACTTCAAGGATAGAAGCACTGTCTGCATCAGTTTTCGAACTCTCTATCAAATTTTTAGCTTCTCCCACCGTGTGTTTGTTCGCACGACAGATGAGTATGTTCCTTTCTTGTTCAGAAGCGGGTTTTTTCACTCATAAATGGTAGAATCTGACGATGTTTAATGCGCCAGTTCATAATATAAGACTTTTGTCAATTAAAAGAAAAAGAAAATTATTGTTTTTTGTCAAACTTATTTAAGTCACTTGCTTATATTGAAGGTTAATTACTATAGATAAAATTCGTTCACAGCAAATCTGATATTTGCATAGTTATTCATCTCAACCTAACTTCAATGAATACGGTTATCATACGAAGAAACAGCTTATAAGAAAATAGTAGTTGAATACACATTCTATGTTTTCTTTTATGACTATTGTGTAAAATGCCTTTAGATCTTATGAAGAAAAGAAATGTGTTCTCACACTCATCAGAAATCATCACAGAATAAACTCCAACGTCTACACATGAAGTTATATTTGTTTCAATTATGAAAGACAATTTTGAGATAAAAACCTTTTTTGTATCTCTAGAAGAAAGTCAATGGTGATGAGACCTTCTAACGAATACATCACGGAATTTTATTTAATATCTTACTATTTTATGAAGATCTCTTCATGTGTTACATGCCTAAATGTGTACTGCGTCCATTAGATCCTATGATCATGAAAATGTTTTTGTTTTTCGTATAGAAAATCAAAAAACTTTTACAGAGTTAGTTTTAAACGAGCATTAAAATGACTCTATGACATATTTTCAAAAAATAAACACAGTCTTTAATAGACAGTTGTTTCCTATTAGCTTTTTCTCAAGATTTTTCTAACAGAATATTGTTAAAACATTCTCTATATAGTAGTTCCTTCGTATACATAAAAAGGCTATTTCCGAGAAGAGTTTTCCAAGTTGGCAACAAACTTCAGCTGTTCCGAAAGGTCTTATCTATGAAACATGTAGAGATCAAAAGTATGTAGTTTTGGAAAAATTTTGTGTTAGTACTCAATTGTTCTGAAACACAGAATTGAGCAGAGTGGAATGTGATATAGTCAATAAATAGTCTAGGCCTATGGACAACGATGCTTTTTAACTCTAAAATAGCAGCGATAAATACCATTGATTATAAAAAAATTGAACAGAATCCAAATCTGTATCGAATTTAGTCTAAACACGAAATTCACATAAATTTATCCTAGATCATGATAGAGACCTTAGAGTCTATGAGTACCATATGTATTCCTTAAAGGTTATAACCAGTATATGGTCCTTCAACACATGAATATTTCTGAAAAACTTGACTTCTTAAATACCATTCGATGCGTCACGAAAACTCTACGAAACCAGAATATACGTATCATCCTGGGTCAAGATTGGTCACTCAATCTGGTAAGATCCTCTCTTCAGCATCCTTTTACGTAATCCTCGAAACATCCAATAAAGAACTACTTCAAATATTACAACGAGATATTATTGATATACGATCTGTGAACATACATCTACATATATTACAGCTTGTGGGACGATAGAGTAGACATTTCTACCCTACATACTTCAGCATTTCGTTTAGATCATGTTTCACAAAAACAAGCAGTGTATTTCAACAAGTAGACTTTTCTCAAAAGTTCTTTTTATTATGCTGAACATCCTTTGTGGATGACTCTTTATACTCACAAGCCATTGTTAAAATGAATAAAACGTGTAATCTCTATTTAAAAATCAAAGTAAAACAGACACAACAGTGATTCGAATAGAAAAATAATATATAATTCTGTCAGACTGAATGGATTCTTTTTTTTACTCTTCTTATTATGAAAAGAAATAATTGATTTCTTCTTTCTTGCCAACCAACAAAACAACAAAAATATAACATTATTTTGTATATTCTAACTACCAAATAATCAATAAAGTCAAGTCAAACAAAAAAATAAATAAATAAACCTACTAATGTTCATGTCAACTCGACAAAATATTATAAAATCCACATGAATGATAAAGAATTCAACCGCTTTGTTTTTTTCTTCTGATACTATCAACTCAATTTTATTCTCAGCGTGATATTAAAATCTTCATATAATAAAAAAAGAAAAAAGAAATATGATTGATTGTATTCTAAGATGACTGACAATAAGAATAGTAAACGACGTATTTTTATACGAGAACATGTATATAAACGAGATAATTATTTAGATGAAGTTGAATTTGAATTTATTGATGACTTTGAATCTAATTCATCTATTGAACAAAATTATAGTTTATGGTTAAGACGAGATCATTATATGAAAACAATTTTACGACGATATGGTTATAGTGAAAATAAAATGCCAACATTTGAAGAATATATTGATACAATACGATCATTGATTGTTGGACATTGTTGTTCTGAATATGATCTTCGTCGAGCATTTCATATATTTGATCTTGATCAAAATGGTATTATTGAATTACATGAATTTTATCAATTCATAAGTATTATTGGAAGATCAACAACAGAAGATAAAATATCAAATTTTATTGAACGTATTAATATATCCGATGATAGAAATTTGAATTATGAACAATTTAAACAATTTGTTAGACTTGGACATGGAAGAGAAATGCTTGTTAATGTTAGTTTGTAACAATAATAAATAGAACATTCATCTAGTTTTGAATATATGAAGGATACATATATATTTCATTAGAATATTCATTGTTTTTTATTTATAATGTAACATGAAGTTGACATTCTTGCATAAAATAATTGTTTTATTTGAACATCTTATTGGCTAATAAATCGTACACTTAA